GAAGTACTTATTAAGTACTTGTTATAAATATTTATTAAATACTTATTATAATTATATAATTACTTGCTAAATATTTAATTTAAATATTCACTGGGTATAAGGTGCGTTGGAATTGGTTTAATAAGTAATTAGAATAAATATTTAATAAGTACTTAGTAAGTACTTGACAAGTACTTCAATATGTTTCCTGATATCAAACAGGATTACCATTTATATTTTGACCATGTCAATTATGATGGTAGTAAGTAGAAGTATTAGCAAGGCTAGTAAACTATTCTTGGGCATTGTCCTTCATATATGCAGTGGCCAATTCTAATTGTCGAGCAGGGCTTCAGTAGTTGGTTTTGGCAACATGGTCAAATTCTTCTAACCAAGTTATAGGGTCTTGGGTTTCATCACTATGATAAAATTCTATTTTGATAAGAGACTTTTTACTACCATGTTCTAAAACAGCAGCAACAGCAGTCATTGCTTCAGTAGCAGCTCTAAGTAGTGTTTCTATGAACTGAACTAAACTGAACTTTTGGCCAAGTTCAAGTTCAGTTCAAAATTGAACTGAATTTGAACTTGAACTTTTTTTAAAAAAAGTTCAGTTCAGGTTTAATATTGAACTTTTAAATCAAGCTCAGGTTCAGTTCAGGTTCAGTTTAAAAGTTCATGAACATGTTCAAGTTCAATGAATTATATATATACAGTATATTTATATATTATATATTATCAAAAATAATTTACTTCCAATAAAAAGATATTTTCTTTTTTTAGAAGAAAACATAGATTTAAAAGAATAATTATAACTTGCGCCAGTGGTTATAATTAACCATTATAATAGATGGTTAATTATAACTACTAATTTTAAAAAATATAATGATAATTAGAATTAACCATCTAATTTCGTTGCCACGTGATGTCGATCACGTTTTTCTATGGAGCTACAAGAATTTTTATTTTCGTTATCGCTATGACTTTCGATGAACACGAGGTGCATATTAGCATTATTGGAATATGGCTATGTAAAGTTTTGTATGAGGGTTTAGTACTAATTTATTGCTGTTCAAAGCTCCTTCTGCCATTTGGTTCTTCCGGAAATACTGTTTTAAGACCACTACAGGTTTGTTGAAGGGTTAGATGAAGTTTGTTCAACATGTCAACGCTATTGCGTAGCTGTGTCTAATCGAATCCTATTTAAGACTCACCAGCCCTTTATGAATGCCGAACCTGGTTCAGTAGGAAGGAAATCATTATCAGCACACCAGCCAGTTGAAAATAATGAACTTGGTTCAGCTGGAGAAACAGTATTATCAGAGGCTCTCTATGAAAATATCGC